AGGTAAACAAATCAAATAAATTAAAAGAGCTTTAATGTTTTAAATTAACTTTTATAATTAAAAATATTAAAATGTAAATCAAATAAACTGCTTTTATTAAGTGTAAATTTTAATAGCAAAAAATGAAGAAAAAGTATCAAATAATACAAAATGAATAATAAATAATTAATTAAAAATTTAAATGAAAATTAAGTTAAAATAATAGCTAAAAAATTTTTGTTTTAATAAAAATCATTAAATAATAATGATAATTTCTATAATAAAAATTATTTATTTAAATAAATTGAAAATTAAATATACAAAAAATATTAATAATAATAAAAATAATATCTTTTAATTAAATATACTTGAGATCAATATGTAGAATCTAATGAGGTAAATGTGAAGACTTTAAAAACTTTTTTTATAAATTAAAATAAATTTAAAGGATATTAATATAAAAATTAATAATTACTTCTTCTAGTTTTTTATATTTTTTAATCTATTATATCATTTATTTTTTTTTTCAAAAATATTGAATAGCAATTTATTAAATTTGATTAATTAATTAATTAATTAATTATAAATGGATAAAAAGAACAAATAAATATAATAATTAATTAATTATCAAATATAAATTTATAATTTGGTTTTATGAAGAGATATCACAGAAAAATTAATTTAACATTCACTATTTAAACTTAATATTTGTATTTAAAACAAACGCTTAAAAATATATATAGTAAGAATTAGAGATGGTCAGTTATTTATTTAGTCCTATTCGAAAAAATTCTAGTTGTTAATGTTCTTAAATTTTATAAGAATAACGTTTATAAGTAGATTTTTCTGTTTTAGTTTTGTAATTTTGGGAATATTTATAATATTTCTAATATAGCAAGATACCATACAAAAATTTCATGGTTTGTATTCCACTTTTTATGAAATATATTTTTTTATTTATTTATTAAAAAATTTAATATATATATATATGTATTATAATATAATTATAATTAATAAATAATTTAATTTATTTTTATTTCAAAATAATTACAATAAATTAAAAAATTTCCATAAATTGAAATTTTCGAAGAAAAAAAAATGAAATAATAGATTAAATATTACACCAACTTATAAGAAGTAATTATTTATTTTTTTATTAATATACTTTAAATTTATTTTTACTAATTTAAAAAGTTAAAGAACTCTTCACTTTAATCTCATTAGGTTCTCTATATTAATCTGAAGTATATTTAATTTACAAATGTTATAATTATTATTAATATTTTATAAATATTTAACTTTCAGTTCATTTAAAATATTATTTTTCTAATAGAAATTATTATCATCAATATTAGTACATTTTATTAATAATTTTTTTTAGTTATTTTAACTTAATTTTATTATCCATTTTTATTATTTAATATTTTTTATTCATTTTTTCCTTCTAAATCTTTTATTTGAAAAAAAACAGTTTATTAATTGTGGATTGTGATATTCTTTTAATTGAATTTAAAACAATATATCTATCTCTTTTAATTTGTTTATTATCTTTTTAAATAATTTACTATTCTTTTTTATTGTATCTGTGTTTATTTTCTTAATTTAATTCATTTTTTTATTTTCAACACTTGCTTTAATTATTTATTAATTCATTTTTTCTTATTATTTCATATTTTTTCTTCTTTATAATTAATTATCTTTATTTTCTTCAATATATAAAAAGTGAGTATTAAATTGGTGCAACAGGTGCATCATAATTAGGTTCTATTTTAGTAAGTTGCACTAATCTCTAAAATTTGGTACTTAATCTTTAGTAAATTCAGTTTATTTGTTTTGGATTGTGATATTATTACTTATATAATTTAATTTAAAACTAAATAGCTCTATTAATTTGTTTATTAGTTTTTTATTTGATTTACTTTAATTTTTCTTTTTATTATACTTGCATTTATTTATCTTCTATCTTTCTTAATTTAACTAATTTTTTTATTTTCAGGATTTGCTTTTATTATTTATTTATTAATTGATTTCTTTTTACTATTTCAAATTTTTTTCTTCTTCTTTTTATTACTAATTTATATATATTTATTCTTCAATATATAATAAGTTATAATCAAATTGGCTCTATTGGTGCCTCAAGCTTAGGTTCTGCTTTTACAATTTGCAATAATCTCTCAAATTTGACACTTTATCTTCGGTAAATTCAGAGTTTATTTGTTTTGTATTATGATATTTTTACTTTTAAAATTGAATTTGTAACAATATAGCACTTTTAATTTCTTTATTACTTTTTTTATTTGATTTACTTTTGTTTTTCTTTTTTATTGTATTTGTGTTTGTTTTTCTTGTATCCATCTTAACTTAATTCATTAATATTTATTTTCAACATTTGATTTTTATTATTTATTAATTTATTTTTTCATATTTTTTCTTCATTTTTTTCTTCTAATTAATTATTTATATTTCTTCAATAATTAAAAAGTTATAATTAAATTGGTGCAATTGGTGTAACAGACTTAGTTTCTAGTTTAGAAAATTGCACTAATCTCTCAAATTTGGCACTTTATCTTGAGTAAATTCAGAGTTCATTTGTTTTGTATTGTGATATTTTTACTTATAAAATTAAATTTATAACAAAAAGGCTCTTTTAATTTGTTTATTAACTTTTTATTTATTTTACTTTTTTTTTTTTGATTGTACTTTGTGTTTATTTTTCTTTTATCCATCTTAATTTAATTCATTTTTTTATTTTTAAAATTTGCTTTTATTATTTATTAATTTATTTCTTCTTATTTTTTCATTTTTTTCTAACAACTAACTAATTAATTAAATATTTAAGTGAAAATCATATTGGTGATGAAGGTGCATCAGGCTTAGGTTCTGGTTTAGCAAATTGCATTAATCTCTCAAATTTGACACTTCATCTTCAGTAAAAATAGTTAATTTGTTTTCGATTGTGATATTTTTACAAAAAAAATTGAATTTAAAATAAAATAGCTCTGTTAATTAGTTTATTAGTCTTTTATTTAATCTACTTTTCTTTTTGTAATTTATTGTATTTATGCTTATTTATCTTCTATCTTTCTTAATTTAATTTCTCTTAATTTTATTAATTAATTTCTTTTTTAATTTATTATATATTTTTTCTTCAATGTTTAAAAAGTTACAATTAAATTGGCAATTAAGGTACATCAAATTTAGGTTTTTCTTTAACATATTGCACATATCTCTCAAATTTGACACTTCATCTTACGTAAATTCAATTTATTTGTTTTAGATTGTGATATTTTTACTTATAAAAGTTAATTTAAAACGATATAACTCTTTTAATTTTATTAATTAGCTTTTTATTTGATTTACTTTTCTTTTTGTTTTTTATTGTACTTTATATTTATTAATTTATTTCTTCTTATTATTTCATATTTTTTGTTTATTTTTACTTCTAAATAACTAGTTAATTATATATTTTTACTTCTATATTATAAAAAGATGGAATTAAATTGGTGACGAAGGTGTATCAGGCTTAGGTTCTGCTTTAGCAAATTGCACTAATCTCTCAAATTTGACACTTGATCTTAGGTAAATTCAGTTTATTTGTTTTGGATTGTGATATTATTATAAAAAAGTTTAATTTAAAACAAAAAAGCTCTTTTAATTTGTTTATTTGCTTTTTATTTAATTTAATTTTTTTTTTGTACTTGTCTTTATTTTTCTTCAATCTTTCTTAATTTAATTCATTTTTTATTTTCCACATTTGATTTTATTATTTATTTATTAATTGATTTCTTCTTATTATTTTATGTTTTTTTTCAACTAATTAATAATACATTCTTTCTTCAATATTTAAAAAGTGACAATTAAATTAGTGCAATTGGTACGTCAGGCTTAGGTTCTGGTTTAGCAAATTGCACTAACCTGAAAAATTTGGCACTTTATCTTGAGTAAATTCAATTTATGTGATATTTTTACTTATAAAATTTAATCTAAAACAATATAGATAGCTCTTTTAATTTGTTTTGTTAGCTTTTTATTTGATTTAGTTTTCTTTTTCTTTTTTATTGTACTTGTGTTTATTTTTCTTCTATCTTTCTTAATTTCACTCATTTTTTTTTTTTACTTTCAGCATTTGCTTTTATTATTTATTTATAAATTAATTCATTTATTTGTTCTTATTATTTCATATTTTTTATTTATTTTTACGTCTAAATAACTAGTTAATTATATATTTTTTCTTCAATATTTAAAAAGATAGAATAAAATTAATGATGAAGGTACATCAGGCTTAAGTTTTGGTTTAGTAAATTGTACTAATCTCTCAAATTTGACACTTGATCTTAGGTAAATTCAGTTTATTCGCTTTGGATTGTGATATTTTTATTTATAAAATTGAATTTAATTCAAACAATAAAGTTCTTTTTATTTGTATATTAACTTTATTTTTGATTTAATTTAGTTTTTCTTTTGTATTTATTGTACTTGTATTTATTTTTCTTCTATCTTTCTTAATTTTTATTATTTCATTTCTTCTTATTATTTCATATTTTTCTTATTAAAAACTAATTAAATATTTATTTTTTATTCAATATTTAAAAAGTAGAAATAAAATTTGTGCAATTGGTGCATCAAGCTTAGGTTCTGGTTTAGCAATTTGTACTCATCTCTCGAATTTGACACTTAATCTTTAGTAAATTCAGTTTATTTGTTTAGTATTGTGATATTTTAAATTATTAAATTGAATTTAATACAAAATAGCTTTTTTAATTTGTTTATTTGATTTAAATTACTTTTTCTTTTTTGTTGTACTTGTATTTGTTTTTCTTCTATCATTTAACTAATTTTTTTTATTTTTATCATTTGCTTTTTTTATTAAATAAATAATTAATTTCTTATTCATATTTTTTCCTCATTTTTCATTAAAAATAACTAATTAATTGGATTTAGGCTGTTTATTTTGACATGATCAAATAACGATGAAAAATGTTTGCAAATATTCCATTAAATAATTTACTTAGATATTAATAAAGTTTACATAACAAAACATTCAAAATAAATAAATAAAAAAATTATCGAATTCATCAAATTGTTCAAATACTTTAATTAAGGGTCACCCCCTCTACAAATTTTTACCCTTCATTTAGACTATTTGTAAATATTTAAGAATATGAAAATTATTAAATTAGTAATATTCATAATATGAAGTATATAAAAACAAACAAGATTTTATAACCAACATAAAATAATATCGGATATTTAATAATAACTCTTTGTAAAAATGGTGTAAAAAAAAATTAAAATTAATTAGTAATATAATAACACGAATTCACTTAGTGTTTTAGAGTACAATACATATATATAAAGTTAAAAAAACTTTTTCAAAATATTATTTAATAAAATATTTTATATCCATTTATTCAAACATTTAAAATTTATTCATCCTTTGTTTGTCACTTGTTTATCATCGTATTACAAAGACTACTAATCTTTTTGATTTTAGGTAATTGCTTTTTACTTTGAATTTTTATGATTTATTCATATTGCCAAAGCTTTTATTATAATTTTAAATAAATATTAAATAAAATAAATTTTTAACTTAAAATATCATTACTGGAATAAAAAAGATAAAAAAAATAAATCAAATAAAAGCTATCAAATAAATTCAAAGAGTATTTTATATTCATTTTTATAGTTAAAAATATCATAATCCAAAACAATTAAACTAAATTTACAAAAGATCAAGTGTCAAATTTGAGAGATTAATGCACTTTGCTAAAGCAGTACCTAAGTCTGATGCACCATCATCACCAATTTTATTCCTACTTTTTAAATATTGAAGAGATTAATTAATAATAAAAACAAAAGTTGGAAATAAAATGAAGAGTTAAATTAACAAAGAAAGAAGAAGAAAAAGCAAGCAAGCACAATAAAAAGAAAGAAAAAAAAAAATCAAACAAATTAAAAGAACTTTATTGTTTTAAATTAGTATTTATAAATAAAATTATCACAATCCAAAACAAATAAACAGTTTTTACAAAAGGTAAAGTGTCAAATTTGAGAGATTAATGCACTTTGCTAAAGCAAAACCTAAGCCTGATGCTCCTTCATCACTTATTTAATTTTCACTTTTTAAATATTGAAGAAAAAATATATCATTAAATAGTTAATTAGAAGGAAAAAATAAAGAATAAATATGAAATAATAATATTAATTAATAAGAAAAAAAAATTGGAAATAAAATTATGAGTTAAATTAATAAAGAAAGAAGAAGAAAAAGCAAGCAAGCACATTAAAGAAAAAAATAAAAAGAAATCAAATAAATTAAAAGAGTTTTATTGTTTTAAATTAGCTTTTATAAATAAAAACATCACAATCAAAAACAAATAAACTGTTTTTACTAAAGGTGAAGTTTCAAATCTGAGAGATTAATGCATTTTGCTAAAGCAGAACCTAAGCCTAATGCACCTTTATCGCCAATTTAATTGACACTTTTTAAGTATTGAAAGAAAATACATCATTAAATAGTTAATTAGAAGGAGAAAATGAAGAAAGAATATGAAATAATAAGACTAATTAATTAATAAGTAAAGCAAATGTTGGAAATAAAATGAAGAGTTAAATTAACAAAGAAAGAAGAATAAAAAGCAAGCAAGCAAAATAAAGAAAAAAATAAAAAGAAATCAAATAAATTAAAAGAACTTTATTGTTTTAAATTAGTATTTATAAATAAAATTATCACAATCTAAAACAATTAAACAGTTTTTACAAAAGTTAAAGTGTCAAATTTGAGAGATTAATGCACTTTGCTAAACCTGAACCTAAGTTTGATGCACCTTGATCACCAATTTAAATTTAAAAAAACTTTCCAAAAACTTTAATTAAAATATTATAATTACTAAAGATCCAAAATAATTAAAGCAAACAAACCCCTCCCTCCATCCTACATAAATTTTGTATTATTTTGATTACTGTTAATTGAAATTATAGGTGATCATAATTTATAGTTCAGTAATTAAGAATTATAAGACCGAATTATAAAATAGATTGAATAACTACTTATTAATTTAGGATTAATTAATATTTTATTAAAAATTTGTAAATTAAAGAATAAAATTACAAGATATTATAAAATAAGCATATTATATTATATTATTCATGTATTTTTATATTTATTCATCCATTTTTCACAAAATGTTTATCATCATCAGAAATCTATTTCAAAGAAAACTAATCTTTTTGATTTAAGACACTTGCTTTTTACTTTCAATTATTATTATTTATTGATTTAGTTTTCGCTTTTTGTATAAATTAGTTTAAATTACAAAAAAAATTAATTTATTTTAAAATTTAAATTGTAAATCAATAAATAAATAAATAAAATATGTATTAGTAGAATAAAAAATAATAACCTATCAAAAAATAAATAAATAAATTAAAAAAGAAAGTTAATTGATTTTAATTCATTTTTTGTTTAAAAAATATCACAATCTATCTAAAAAAAATAAATTGCTTTTACTTAAGTAAAAGTAACAAATTTGAGAGATTAGTACAATTTGCTATAGCAGAACCTAAATCAAATGCACCAATTGCATCAATTTTATTGCCACTTTTGAAATATTTATCAAAAAATTTTAATTAATAATTGTGTTAATTACAAAAAAAATATTAAATAGTAAAAATTGATTAATTAATTAATTAATTAGTAAAAAAAGCAAAAATGAAAAATGAAAAAATGAGTTAAATTAGCATAGAACGAAGAAAAAAACACTAGAAGAATAAAAAGAAAATGAAAAATATATCAAATAAAAGGAAAATAAATAAATTAAAAGTGTTATAAAATTATCACATCTAAAATAAATAAACAATTTTCACCTAAGATCAAGTATCAAATTTGACAGATTAGTGTAATTTGTAAAAGCATTACCTAAGCTAGATGCTCCATCATTGCCAATTTCATTACCACTTTTAATATTGAAGAAAAATAAATAATAAATCATAGGTTAGATAGAATTGTTTGAACAAAAAAATCAAGATAAAATATCAATTAATAAAAAATTAATAATTTAAAAATAAAGAAAAATTAAAAATTAACAAAGATTGAAGAGAATTTACAATCGGGGCATTTTAA